TTCCAGTTAACAGTTCAAGAAGGAAAGTGCTTCAAGAGGCTCAAAGGTCACTTTCGATTAACAGGTGAGTTATGGGACTTTCCTAGGTGTACCTGACCATGATTGTGGCCAGATTCAGTATCAGTAAACCTAGCGCATGTGGCTGAATGGCACACTACCACATGCATGTCAGTGTTAGTGAACAGATCGCATGTTTCACAACTGAGCAGGTATTTGTACCAGGACTTGGTGCATTGAATATGGCCTTACTGATGGGCGAATAGATCTAGGAAAGACCCATAGTTTACCGGAAAGCGACAATCGGTGGCGGATATGACAATACCTGAGCAATTGTCACTGCTGCCAGCGCAGCCAGGTGTGCGCTTTTGGACAGAGTCTTTGCTGCACGCCGCTGGTGTCAGAAAGGAACTCGGTCGTCGAACTACGATGCTTCTTCCACGACATCTCTTCGGAATCAAAACGAAAGCAGAATTTCGTTTACGTCACAGAATTTGGAAGCGTACAGAAATTTGGAACGATGTGGAGGATCCCTGATCAAGGATTATGTGTGGCGCAGAGCAAGCAGGAAATTACAAATGCCTCAGAAATTCAGAATCAGTTTTTCTGTGTGATTTATTCTCTACCTTAAGTTTCCTAATTGTTTTATGAGTGGATTGGACAGGGTTTGAACCCCCCACTTGTGGATCAAATATAATATGTCCTCGCTATGTTCTCCATTTAGGTAACAACACCTTATCATTCCGGTCCAGAACCAGAAAGATGGGTCTAGTTGCTGATGGTTTGCTGTTTTCAATTGTGGTTATTGGTTTGGGTGGGGTGTGGTTGTAATCCTACTGTCGTGAGGTGAGGGGTGTTCCTTTTTTTTTGCTGTGTTTTGCCGTTTTTTTGCTGTTTTTTGCTGTTTTTTGCTGTTTTTTGCTGTTTTTTGCGGTTTTTTGCGGTTTTTTGCGGTTTTTTGCTGTTTTTTGGGTTTGTGGGGGGGGGGATGCTGGGCGTGATACAAGCCCATCTTGGCTGGTGTCGAATGCCATTTTTGGAGGGCTAGATGGGAGGTAGGTGAGTGAGGGTAGAGCAGAGGGACGGAGGTTGGGTAATGTGAGGGGGAGAGAGTTTTTTGTGTTCCATGGTGTTTCATCCTTGCATGTGTTGCGCATTCGCTCTTGGCCACACTGAGGGAGAGAAATTGGGTTCCAAGGAGCTGCTGCGGTCTATCTCTATCTTGTGGGAGGGAGAAGGGATGGGGGTATGGCGCTCCGTGGCCACTCGTCGGTGGTGGTGATAGTGGGGTGGGCTGGCGGGGGAGGGGTGGGGGAGAGGGTGAGGCATGACGGGGAAGCGTGGAAAGATTGTCTGCAGGTCTCCTGAGGAGCCAAAGGTGTGCCTTGTGAAGAGACTGATTGCACTGCAAGGGGATTGGGTGTCTGTTCCAGGGACCTATGATATCACACAGGTACCTAAGGGCCATTGCTGGGTGGAGGGAGATAACCCTATGGTCAGCAGCGACTCCAAGGCGTTCGGGCCGGTAAGTGGGGCAAAGTGCAACCCTAATAACTCTGTAATAAGACACCATGGGTGATTGATGGAGGTGCTAAAAGCTTGCTCTTTTTCACTCTGTTTGACAGTGTTTGTTCCCGGTTCCTCCCCTACCCCCCCCCTCCTCCCTTCCTCCCCCCCTCAAAACTTGCTCTTTTCTCTGCGGTTTGACTTGTTAAGTAATAAATGAATGGAAGCACTCAAAAAATTCTCTCTTCTTTTTTTTCTTCTGTTTGACAGTGTTTGTTCCCGGTTCCTCCCCTACCCCCCCCCTCCTCCCTTCCTCCCCCCCTCAAAACTTGCTCTTTTCTCTGCGGTTTGACTTGTTAAGTAATAAATGAATGGAAGCACTCAAAAAATTCTCTCTTCTTTTTTTTCTTCTGTTTGACAGTGTTTGTTTGTTTGTTTACGAAACCTTCTTCTCTTTTCTTTTTTCTCTGCTGTTTGAGTTGCTGTGAAGTATATGAAAAGGAAAGCCAGGAGGGGGGGAGGTGGAGGAGGAAAGTGGTTATGGTGTGGCCTCATCATGAATGAGCCAGGTCGGTATTGATGGAAAGTCGTGGAAAGGAGTTAAGGGGTCATCAAGAGGGCAATAATTGTTGGCTGTGGGGTGGAAGGACTAGTAAACTAAAGAAGGGTATATCCTATGCAGTATATACTATATACTATATATTATATATTCAGACCAGGACTTTCCTTTGTCGCACTTGACCACAATTACGGCCAGATACAAGCTGGAAAATACCCAGTTTGAGTGTGCTCTTAATGGGGATCATTATTATGAGCTCAATAAAAAATTGCGTAGTGTAACTGGAATAGAAAATGGCTTAGTAGAATGAGTAGCCACATTTTGTTTGGGAGATGTGGTTGGTGGGGTCCCTTGGGCTGTCTTATCGTTTTCTTGTGAAGAAGGGGTTACACCGTTATAGCAAATAACACACGGATAGGCCATTTTGGAAGCATCGTGTCACAGACAGGCCACATAAAATGTATCTCTTTTTCTTTGTGGGAGGTGAGGTCCAAAGGCCTCAACCTGCCTGTCTGTTCAGCATTAGTACATTTCTAATTTTCTAATCCCAAATTTCTGTCATCATGTGTAATAAAGCCAGTAGCCTAATAAAATATATACCCCTTGTTCTACGTATCTGACCAGCAATTTCCCAACTAGTGATCTGGATTTTGACAGTTACATATATGCGTACCCATTGTTGAAGGGGAGAGGAGGGGGGGGGKGGGGAGGGGAGAGGGGGGGGAGGGTGGTGGCGGGGAAGGCACTGTTGTTGATTGGGGAGAACCTGCTCAAAGACAAAACCACTTGGAGCCCTGAGCGTAATTCGTGAGTGCTGATAGCGGCTACTCAGTTTAAATGGGGTCCATTAAATTAACAAATTGTGGGTCAGTGGGTCTATTGAATGAGTTGTCGGAATTTCCCATGCATGCTGGCTGGCTGTCTAAAATGCAGCAGCATTTGGGTTAGTGGCTAGGCTACCAGGGCTGCACTGCTGGGCGCACCCATACAGGTCGCCTGGCCGTCCGCCCTTCCAGGCTGCCCTGGGGATGCAGAAATTCTGGGAATTCTTTTTTCTACTCTCCCCAAATCCGTTTGTTTTTGTTTTTGTTTTTCAGGATTGTCCATTGAGGGGGGCAAGGAGGAGGGGGGGAGGGGGTAGGGGTATGAAAGGGGCTGAAAGGGGCTTAGAGGGGGTTTAAAGGGGGCTGAAAGGGGCTTAAAATGGGTGTAAAGGGAAGTGCCTTAGTTAGATTTTCTTAGCTTTCTTTTTTATCTTCAGTTGTAAGGAATTCTGAGATGACTCTCCGCCAAAAGTTGTGTGCAGTGGAATTCTACCCGAGAATTCCACACGGGGTCCTGCATAAACAAATTCACTTTCGATGCCCCAAAAACATAAAATTTTTAATTTTTTAATCCTTTTATTTTGTTTGCATTGGGGCTGCCAAGAACCCTGCATGGGAGTCCTGCCCGGCCTGGCAACGGGCCCTGTATGCGGGCACAAAAATTGTGCTGGGGCGCAATTTGAAACAGTGTAGTGAGCCTTGGTTAGTGTGGAGAGTTCGCCTACCATTCTGAAGCGGGATATGTGCTGAATCTGCTGATGCTCGCCTTGTCACTACTTTGAATTATTTATTATTTAGCTATCAATAACAGTGCTTTCTGGGTGCTTCGGAAGAAAAGATTGAAGAAAAAGAAGAGCAACATATATAATGTTTCGGGGGACGTTTCAGATGTCCGCATCGAGACAGACGTCAGGCTTGATGTTGCTGTCCGTCTTTTGATGTCACTTCTTGTCTGTCCGTTTGCATGTATTCCGTCTGCAGGTTCCCTTAGCGCTCCTCGAAGGGAGGGTTACCCATGTAATATGGCCGCCGACAAGGGCGGGCAGAGTTGAAAGCCGTGTGCCGGAGGGACGTGTGCTGCTTCGTAGGACCTTGTGACTCGTATCTTCCCACTGTCCAGATTTATCCGGAATGGAGAATTGAAAGTCGCTATCCTGTTTGTTTGTTTGTTTGTTTGTTTTCCGCTCTTCCTTTCTTTGTGCATGTTGCTCCTCGATCTATGTTTCTTTTTTTATTTTTTTTAGTCCTTCCTTTCTGTAGAGTTATCAGGGATTCATCTTCCTTGTAGTCGTCAATGGCCATGTAAATATGGGTGTGTACATTTCCTTTTTTCTTCGTTTTTGGTTTAATCCCCTTCTGAATCAGGATTGCTGTTTTGAGGTGAAGAGAATGAAAATGACAGCCACCAGGCTGTATTGAACGATTGGCAGCGTCAATTCAACTCAATTGTGTATATCTTTTTCATTGTCTTTTCAGGTTTTTTTTTTTTTTTTTTTTTTTTTTGTTATTCCCTGTTGTGTACATCTTGTCATCCCAGGAAGCAATCTCCGAACTCGATGCATCTTTTTCTGTTCAGTTTGGCTTAAACCACCCGTACTTGGTCCAGCTATCGGCCATGGAAAAAGAATAGAGTAGAAACGTTTCTCGTTGGATGAATTTGGGCGCTCCTGTAGTGGTCGGTACGTTTCCTAAAATAGTGGCTTTTTTTCAACAGGCACAACTTTAGGAAGTACTGTTTTTGTAAGCTCTCTGGACTTACCATAGTCAAAAAAAGTTGTATACATTCTAGCTCACCACCAGAAGTCCAGAAAGTATAGTTCCCCCCCTTTCTCCCCCTTCCCCTTCATTTATTCATTCCATTTATGTAATGCACACAGGCTCCCGTGGACTAAGAAACAGAGCGGAGTCCAGCGGAAAATATTGTGCCCCGCCTTCCTGTTCAATTTATTTAACGCACACATGATCCCCTAGCATACAAGAAACAGAGCGGAGTCCAGCGAAAAATTGTAGTCCCCCCCTTTTTTTGTTCCGCTCTGTTTCTTGTATGCTAGGCTTGATTAATTTTTTTAAGTGCAGATTCACAAACTTGTGGAGGGGTTTCGAGGACCATTATCGTGACTCCACCTGCTGCAGTCCTCCGTTAGCGGGAAAGGGCGCATATTTTCTGGCTCGGAAAACTTTGTGCCATATTGCATGTTTGTAGTATAGGGGAACGATGTCCACCCTCCTACAGAAGAATTACACGCTCCTCCGTTATCGGAGCCATTGATGTAACGAACCTTCAGGCTCGGGATGCCCGTGTGTTGCTTGTTTCTAGTCGAGTGGAATGATGCCGTAACTCCGGTTTGTCAATCGGGCAGTGCATATGCTCAACCGATCACAAGTTGGTGACTGAATCACGACCGCTCATATCACGTGCCGCGCCTGAGGGCCACTAAGGAGCGGCGATAATGAGAACACTATGGTTCGTGATGGTGCCTGCAACGTTGACAAGGAACGAATAAAACAAAGAAATATGTCCATGCGGTAAGTGGCGATGATGAACGTTGAGAAGATTGATAGCCACGGGGAAAACTACAGAGAAACTGTAATTCACGTGCTAATGTGGAAGCGTAGCATAGAACCCTGCACAGTGCAAGAAGCCATGATAAAGAGAAAATGCGTTCACACACATTTGTCTGTGATTCGGTGCTCGCCAACTCAGCAGCATACCCGCGCCCGGTCTGTGATTGGATGTGATGCGCACGTGCAGGCCTCACCACTTCCAAGCTACACCATCGTGTAGAAACACAAGGGGATAACACTGGCAAGGATGATGATGGCATTGATGACGAGGATGATGGGGAAACTCGTTTGAAAATTAGTAAATGAACAAATAAGTCATGTATATATCATGACATAATCTACATGATTTTTTTATTTTTTTTATTTTTTAATGTGGCCCGATGGACCACGGATCAGATTTAAAACTGATCAGAACAGATACTACACTTGATCTTAGCCAAAAGACCGAGAAAGTTATTAATCTACAGGATTTCAACTTCAAGGTTTTTTTGCACATTTGTTTTAGTTGAAAAATTGCTCAAGTTCACTGTTATTTTTTTTGCCGCCCACTTGAATTCTGGCGACCTCTGCTTTGTTCGGGCCTGTCGACGTTAAAACGTCCTCAAAAGCCAATTTTCCGATGTAAGGGGGGTGGTGGTTTAAGGTTGGTCTAATAATTTCACCATTCCGGGATTTTATTCGCTTTCTTTGGTATCGAATCACAAGGTAAATTAACCCTACATTTTCCAAAGGTACGGGTCATGGCAACAATAGTTGTTCAATCCCTTGCGAGAACGTAGAGGACGAGTTGATGCACACTTTCCACCACTGTTTTATCCCAGCCCTCTCTAAAAACTTGTCCCACATTGACATTGACATTACGATTTATTATACCTCAGAGTCTTAGGGTTGTGAACTGTTTGTGTTTTCATGCTCTGATGGACGCAGTACTATTATCTTCAACGTGTGCAGTGCCCGTACCTTGAAACTGCAAATCACCTAATTAGCATGTTGATTCCCCAATGGGGCTATCAAACCGATCAGAATTCTTAACTTATCCGTTATTAAACCTGATAATGAAGCGCGAACAAAAAAAATGAATGGGCGCACGTTTACTTTTAGTTAATGTTACCAGCTGTTTTTCCTCACACGCATCGAGCCCAAGAACTTGCGGCCTTATATAGCCCATGTAAGAGAAAATGATCAGGAAATGTTGTAGTAACACTGTGAAGGATAAAGTATTCCTTTGGTGGAAACAAATTAGGCTTTGCGGACTAAAAATATATATATAATTTTTTTTTTTAAATGGTAAGTGGCAAAGTTGAAAGAGGTGTGCGTAAGTAAAATGAACACCTAGATCCGTTGTATAGACAAAGGTTGCTAAATAAAAAATTACAAAAAAAGACAACTCAAAATAATAATTGAAGTACGATGACGGGGTCCATTCTCCTATCATGTCTTCCCATGGGTGCATAATTTGCGTTAGGGCCATGAGAGTCGTTCACATTAAACCCCCACTACTTCCTAGAGTCGTGCCCGTTAACGCGCCACGATTTTAGGAAATGTACGGACCACTACAGCACCCAAATTCATCCGACTAGAAATGTTTCTATTCTATTTTTTTTTGGCGGCCGATAGCTGGGCCAAGTTCTGGTGGTTCAAACTAAACACGTAAAGAGTCTTTAACTTTTGCAAAGTATTTCCTATGGTAGTCCATTGCAGAAGCAGTAATACTTGGTCATTGAACCCAATGCTTATCAGACAACCATATTTATTTATTCAAAATATTAATGAAATTTATAGGCTGTGAAACATTTGACATTATGATGAAATGATCGTTAACGCCTTCATATGCGTTGGGGCAAGCGTAAAAGTAGTAGTAACTAGTTTTTTAAATAAATTACTAACGAACTACTCAAATAAATTCCATAAATTTTGCGACTACACAAATAAATTTCATAAATTTTGCGATAAATATTTTTGAAAATTTTCAATAGCAATGTTTTTGGGGATGAATATTTTCATAAAGATTTAAAGGCAAGATTTGATGTGGTCTCCAGTTCCATGCACTGTTCATATCTGGATTTTTGGTCAAATGTTTTGCGGGAGTGTTTTGACTTAAGGTAGTTTTCGTACTGCAAAATATCGGAAGTATTTTTCGGACACTAAATCCCATTCATTGGTTGGTTTACCTGATCACACAATAAAAGGCGTATGAGAAGTTGTGAGAGAATTATAAATATCGATGCATGATAGGTTGAGTGTATTTAGAACGAGGAAAAAGAAATTTCATGCATGTTTCATGGACTTAGCACTTTCAAGAACATGAAAGTTGTTGATATGCTCTTCTTTCCTTTATGTACTAATGCATTAAACAACCATTCCCCCCAACGTGGGGGGGCGTGTAGCACAATTTAACGAGGGTTAACGATAGCATAGTGAAGAGATCTGACTGACTGACAAAAGTGAACATTGCGTCCAATGGGTGCTGCGATTTATTTTATGATCAAATTGATTTTTTGGTATTTTATTATTATTTTTTAAACATCATAACAAAATTTGTAAACCTTTATTTTTTTTATTTTTTAAAGATTAAAAAATATATTTTTTTAATATATTTTTATATCAAAAGATCACAGATCACACAACCTCATCTACGGATCCTCAAATTTCAATTTTTTCTACAAATTCTGTAAGGGAGAAAAATTGTCAAAGTTGATATTTTCAAATTGCGACACTGCTTTTTGCCGGTAACAAATGGGTGTCACCCCTCTGTAAACCCGACCCTAACTTACAGTGACGCGTTCAAATTGCGGGACTACACTTTGCCGGGGTGTCCCCCTTTTGTAAACCTCGACCCTGACTCACAGGGACGCGCGTTTCTCGGTGTCTAAGGGGGAAATGGTCTGATTTTGAGTTTGATTTTTTGAAAATACTAAAATAGATAACTGTATCATTTTTTGTCCCAAAAATATTAATGAATTCAGAGTCACCATCCCGTACGGATGGAAGTCCCTGAGCTGACCTCCGTACGTACGGCCGTTCAGGGTCCGAGCCCGAAGGCGTTCGACCCCCGCCAAAAAATATTTTGGGGCTTAAAAATGCGTTTTTTTCTTTTTTATTGTTTTTACGTGAGTTCTTTGTGAGGTACATGCCTATAAATTTTGAAAGATGCGGGTGTCAAAACGCGGACGCCCACTCACTATTTCGTTTGTTTGTTTTTTACTGTTTGTTTTCACTTTCGTGCGAGGTCTAAACAATTTTATTATTTTTTGAAACTTTTGTAATGGTTTTTTTTGCATTATGTGAAGTATATCTGTAGATTTTCAGGGCATTTGGGTGTGCCGAAAACAAATGAAAAATCACCAATTGGGCGGTGTCGAAAATGTGCTCGCTTACTCTTTTTTTTTTTGTTTTGGGGGGGGGGGGGGGGGGGGGGNGGGGGGTGGTAAGGAATTTGGATGTAATGCTCAGACAAATGTTGCTTTTTTTTTTTATAACATATTTATTTTTTAATTTTATTATTATTATTATTATTTTTTGCGTTCGGCCCGAACGACGGAACGCATCCTCAAGGGGTCCTGTATGTTCAGTCGTTCGGGTTTCGGGTGTTCGGCCTGTCCCGAAAGCTAGTTAGACAAATAATGCTTATTTTATTTTTTTTCATAATATATTTATTTTTTATTTTTATTTATTTATTTATTTTTTCGCGTTCGCCCCGAACGACGGAACTTATTCCCAAGGGGTTTTGTACGATCAGTCTTTCGGGTTTCGGCTATTCGGCCCGTCCGGAATGCTGGTTACCCTAAATGAAATGATTCATTACTTCAATCAAATAATTCACCGAGGATCGCAATAAAAAGTTTATGAAGAAGTATGAAAATATTTCAAATAGTAGTACATTTTGAGAGAAACACTCTTAGAAAAATAAAAAATATAGTTGATGTACGTTAGAATTTCTTTGTTTAATAGCGTGTTAGAAATTTTCATAGCATGATAACTATGTTGTTTTTCATGTAAATGATTTTTTTTGTTTCGTACTTGTTAAATAATAAAAAATCTAGGTTGTTTTTTTGGGCGTCCGGGCACCCAACTTGTGTACGGAGGCACGCCCAGGTGCTCGGCTGGGTACGACTTCCGGGCAGGGTTCCTTGCAGTCCCATCGCAAAAAAAAAAAAAAAAAAAAAAAAAAAACTAGAAAAAAACATTGTTGTGTAGAATTGCAATGCAAACAACTTTTGGCTAAGTGTCATATTAGAATTCCTCACTCAATCGAAGATTAAAAAAAAGAAAAAAATCATACTAAGGAATTCCCCTTTAACCCCCCTTAGCCCCTTTAAAAACAGTTTATACCCGTCTTTCTCCCCCTTGATAACCAACTTTCGAAAAATGAAAAAAACCCAAATTTGGGGTCCTCCGTGGGAGCGCAGAAAGATTAAAAAAAAAAAAAATTCTCGAAGTTGAGGGAGTGTGGGTCGATGGCTGAGTTTTCGATAGATGCTTGGGGGGTCGATGCTTAGCAAAGGGCTGACACGTTGAGATTCGCCACCATTGCAAATTATCGTGCCGAAACACTTTTAATAAACTCTGTTGTTTCATCGTTTTCGGCTACGATAATTATGTGCTCTGCATGTTTGATATCGTGTGTATTTGTCAATTGTATCTCAAGCCTGGCCAGACATGAAAATCTTCCTAGTAAAAAAAATATAAAATGTCTAATAATTTTTTTGTTGTTTGTGAGTTCAGGAAATAAAATATTACTACATCTAAACGAAATTTATACAATCATAGACCCATTGTGAAGCGAACCGGGCCCCGTATGCGTTATCGTGGCAAAGGGGTGTTGGTAAAAAGTTTTTTAGCTTTGTTGCTCCCCTCCACTTTCATTCACTAGGGAAAGCAAGTTGCCCCGACGAAGTGTTCAAACTGTAGCTCTGACAATTTCCCTACGACAAGATGTGAAATTTGTCAAGTACAACTTTACTTAATCCTAAGTTGTAACCATCGTTACGGAACGTATCGTTGGTAGCAGGGTCTACATAACCACGACTTGGCAATACTTGAAAATGCATCAAATTACAACCGAAATTTATTTCATGGTTGAATTTTTTATTTAAAAAAAATATTTGAACGATTTGAAACCAAATATATAGGTTATCTACTCGTTATATTTTTTTGTTAGGATACCAGTCAGGCCGCCTGGATCACCGTGTCTTTTAGGACGGCCCGCCCGTGCAAGGACCAGGGAGGGTCGTGGACTCCTAGCAAAAGAATAAAAAAAATAAAAAAATATAATGCAAAAAAATAAAATGAGAAACTTTTGCCACAGGGTCCTATCGAAATTGTTTACCAAATTTCAAATAAAAAATATTTTTTTTATTTTTATTTTTTTTATTATTATTATTTTTTTTTTCGGTCGGGCAAGTGGCCTCAGACCGTTGTGGTAGCCTAGTTTTTTTTGCGTATTCTGATGAGTGTCGAAATTAATAAAGTGTGTATAGTTTTGTCTTCGCAAGAGTCCTTTTTGTTCAAATGTGACAGCGCGGAAGTTAAAAATGAATCGAATCGGTAGAACAATTTTTTTCGATATTAAAAAGGTTATTTTTATTTTTTTTGTATTTTCCAATGAAAATCACAACCTAAGCTATGAGACCTCAAACTTCTATATTTTTTTTTGCATCCTTCTTAACACGAAAAATCTCAAAATTGAAAATTTGTTTTTTTGTTAAATTGTCATCGCCCTGTGCTTTTCTTGAACATATCGATTTCAATTTCCCCTTAAGACGTTCCGCACTCACTGGTGGTCTAAAAGTTGACACGCATTTCCATCTTATTGGTATTTGCCTCTCTTTTTTGCATTTTTGCGCTTCCTTTTACTTTTCCTGATGCTCTCATATGTTTGGTTTATATTTTGTTTTTATATATATTGTGTACGCCCAGGCTACCAGAGTGGCCCTGGACCAATTGCCCTTATGGGCCAAAAAAAAAAAAAACTTATTACGAAGTAAAATTATTATTTTTAACTTTTTTTTTTTTTTTGATAAAGAATTTCAATATGACCATGAGATAAAAGTTGTTCGATTTTGTTTTTTGCATAATATAGTGTTTTTTCTTAGTGGGGAGGGGGACCTACTTTGGCCCTTGTACGGTCGGGCCGTCCGGGCAAACAAGGTGACACAAGCGGCCCGGATGGTAGCCTAGCTTAGGTGTAGGTACAATTAGTTATGAATATTTTAGATGTAGAGATGTCAGTTGCATCTATGGGTTAAAATCAATACCACCTTTGTCTTACTGACCCCCCGCATTTCTTTCCCTCAGACTCTATGCATAATTGATTATGCGTGTATATGAGGCGAAAATAGGTTAATCCCGATTGCACATTGAAAATTGATGCGTATCAACAGGCTCTCTACAAGACCCCGACTGGCAGCTGGTGACTGGGTGCATTGAAATCTCCCGACTATCCTCGGGAGCCTGAGTTGAAAGGGGGGGGTTGCACGTTGACTAGCGATTGAGAAAACACCAATTCCGGTTGAAACTCGCCTCTTTGTGTGTGGCGAGGTATGAGTGCTCCTGCCTTGATAGTTCCCTATGTATGTGGGTAGGCCCGTCTTAATGGCGTGGTGGGCTGAACCGGTGCGTCCCACCCCTTGCTGGGAGTGTGTTCATCCGCTTCACCATCCTCGACAACCCTCACAACCTTTAAAAAAAAAAAAAAACATTCATATCATATGAAAGATTTTCATGCCCGGCCAGGCACCCGGGCGTGTTTTTTTGCCTTTCTGCGTTCTCCCGGAGGATCCCAAATCCGGGTTCTTTTTATTTTTTGAGAGTTGGCTTTCAAAGGGGGAAGCGGGGTATACATTTGCTTTGAAGGGGCAAAGGTGGTTTAAAGAGAGGTGCCTTAGTGTTTTTTTTTTTTTTTTTTTAATCTCCGATTCAATGAGGACAGGATCCGAGGCATCCTTGCCTTCTGGGCATTGAAAATTTGTCTGAGTGACCTGTTGGTAGACAGGCAGGACCTGTTTCTTTAGAGCCCTGTGCTGTTTTTTAAAACACCACGTGGCCTCAGGGGTGGACCCTGTGTCTGCAGCCGACAACCGACCGTAGAGTACGGTAGTTTTTTTGGGAGGCTGTGAACGTTTTGTCGCGACTTTGGGTTGTCCAGCAGCATGGGACACTAGGCCCGAGGCGCCTAGTGATGACTTTTTGAACTGTGTGAACTATAAGAGCATTGTAGTCGTAGTTAGTTGTCCTCTTGGGTTGGCGGAGTGAATGGGGGGTTTTGGATGTGTGGTTGCAATGTGGAAGGATTTCTACTACGACTTGTCTCTGTGTGGTTTGGGCGCTTTCTGCGCCAATGTGTTTCTCGACAGTATCCATTACACATACTCCTGTGTTACACAAGCATGAACTCTACTGGAGATATCTTGTCGGTGGTGAGTGAGCGTTATACTTATGTGTTGGTTACGGTGTTACTCGGTTACTTGACTTTGGAGGGGCGGTGATATTAGCGGCTCCGTAAGAGGAGACCTTATACAACGGGGTGATTTTTCGATCGGATGCGAACTCGCGGAGTCGGAGATACTGTTACGTGAGTGAGACGCGATGTCGAATCTGGAGCGCTATGAAGCGGGTGGTGAACCAAGAGGTGGCGATGACCGGGCACGAGAGGAACGAGATCGGGGAAGTAGGGGTGACGACCGGGATCGTGGGGATCGGAGGAGAGGACCGGTCTGCTTTAATTGCAATGAGGTTGGCCACTATGCTAAGCAATGTTTGAGACTGAGGAGGTTCAATGGAGCAGCTAGGCCCTTGACGTCTACCAATCCCAGACGAACAAGGTCTCCCAGAAGGGGGGATTGGAGACGCGAATCGGCGGTGCAACTGGATCCCGGGGTGAAACATCAAATCAACGAATTGGGGAGGAGTGTTGCATCGATGCAACAACATTTTGAAGAGGAGCGTATTCGTAAGGAGAATCGCCTGCGGCGCAAGCAGGAGAAGGAGGAAGAGAAACAGCGTGAGGAAGAAAGGAGAATCTGTGAGGAGGAGGAACGGGCCTTTCGTGAGGCTAAGGCCGCGAAGAAGGGGGAACGGAAGATACGCGAGGCGGAAAGCCGTGCAGAGCTGAAGAAAGACTTAGGTATGCAATTAGCGATGCAGGTCCATGATATGGAGGATAAATTCGTGCAACGTATGAAACGGGCGGTTGCTGAGTTACAGAAGTTGCCGAGTGACAAGGGTAAGGAAGTCCAGCAGCTCTCGGAGGCTGAGGGTAGCAGTAGCGGGAGGAAGCCAGCGTGACACAAGAATTGAGTGAGAGGACGGCGGGATTGGTGATATCCGAGAAGCGGAAGAGGGGACCAGATAAGGCGGTGGGGGACAGGCCACCTATGGAGTCTCCAGCCAAACGCACGCCAGGACATCGTTGCAAGCAAGTTACCTTCACCGGGAGGTTGACGCGTGCGAGAACCAAGGTGATCAAGTCTCCGGGATCGGCAAAACGAAGAACACCTGTTCGGACACCGTTGTCTGCCGCGAAGAAACGTATGCCACCATTGACACCAGGGTTGGGGACGCCGGATGCAAAAAGCTCATTGGCTAGGTACAAGTACCGTAACCTGGTCATGGTAGGCTTGAAGCAGTTGGACGGTAATGAGCTACAACGTATCTGTCGTGAAAAGGGAATACCGTACGATGGTAAGATCGACGCGATATTTGATATTGCCGACCATCGCACTTACCTGCACTTTGGTGACGATCAGGCACCGATGGGACCTTTGGAAACTATCCATATTAAAGATTCGGAGGCAACAAAGCCGACCGAAGACAAGGAAGATGAAGCCACGCGGTGATGTGGCCTACGAGTGCCTTAGCTATGGGCGATTTGTCGTTTCCTATCGAAATGGCGTTGCGGGACGACTGTGATCGACACTAAGATCGAAATTCTCTTTATAACGGTAGTTCTACTGTTAGCCGTTGAGAATGCGGTACGCTGGCTGGGTAAGTTCGTGAGCAATTGGATTGATCAGTATAATAAGCACGGACTAGACTTTGTAAACTTGTCGGATTGCGCATATGTGGATATCTCGCCTTATTGTAAACACGTGTATGTGGGAAAAACTACGCGATGCACATCGGTCTGTTGGAAGGAGCACATATACGTTTGTCGAAAGCACACACAATCGCACTTCCATAGATGGCTCAGTGGATTCGGCCATGGGAATTTCTGTCTGCTGCCAGTTGACTTGGTAGGTGAAATGGATCTTATTAAGCTTGAGGTCAAGTTAGCGTATATCAAACGTTAGAGTTCATCCTTTAATACTTCGGGGACGAAGAAGACAAGGGGGAAAAATAATCGGCCGAATAAACAGGGTAGGAGGGAACGAGCAAAGAGGAAGGGACTTGGCAGGGAGGAAGGAAATTCTCGGAAGATAACCCCAATTACGTTTCGAACTGAGAGAGGCTCCGAGTGGGGTGTCGATTTCTACCGCCTCTTTGAGACGGGTAGGAAGGGTGGTCAGGTACCCATCCATTTTAATACAAGAGGGGGCGACGTGTGGTTTCCGAAATGGCGAGAGCTAGTTAAAACCTTTGGAGAATCTAAGCTTAGTGTTGGGTCGAATCTGCTACGTCTGAAAAATTGCAGGAAGGAATTGGAGAACGGTGGGGATTTTTCTATCACGTACATTTGTAAATGGCAACCGCGGTGTGACTTCTTGAAGGGACTGTTGGTCTGAATCTTGAAAAATCCGAGGAATTTGAATTCGCTGAGGGGGTGGAGCTTGAAATCTTACCTGCGTATCTATAATGTGATTAAGGATTTCTCTCGCAAATCGACTAGGAAGTACCTTCAACAACTGATTTCTCGTCCGATTCGTGAATGTTTTGGACTGCGTCTTGCAGCGGACCTTACCTTCAGTATTAAAGATGACGATCGTATTCGTGTCTGCGAAGTCCGCAAGGTAGCTAATGACGCTCTCATGAAATGTGACTTACCAGTATGTTTCTTGCACACAGTACGGAAGAAGATGTGTATTGTAGGGACAAAAAATCCCACGATCGCGGATATTTTGCACAATGAGCGTTCGTACTCGAAACGTAATGTGCTTACCTGTACGTGCACAGGTATGCCTTTCCCAAAGAAGGAAGGCCATGTAACTTTTCGTCTTTGTGACCTACCGGGAGTTTCACTTCTCCTAGCTAACGCTAATAATATTTTGCAGGCTAGGCAGGAGAAGAGGTTAGAAGGTTTGTGCGTGGAATTATTCCAAGGGTTTCATGGGTGGAGAAATCTCAAAGACGATCCACCTCTTTTTGATCGGGTCAGCGTGTACAAGTGTATGACTGATGACGACGCGCAGGGCATGTCGAATGGAGTGTCGCTGGAGGAGGTTGAGGCTTTGAAGTTACGACTGAAGGATCTGGTAGTAACACCAGTAAATCGGAACTCAGGGGAAACGATGGTATTGTGTCCTAACGTGTACTATAATGCAATGCTGAGTATGTTTGTGTTAAATCAAAGTCACAGGTTGGTGGAAGATTCGCAAGCATGCATCATTCATGGCATGGCCGAAAAAGTAGCCGGATGTGATCTGGGAAAGTTTGCTCGGGTCGATAGGAAGGGTAACTTTGGGAACGCGTACGTAATACCCAAGCATAAGGACTTTGGCAGATTTCGTCCTATCTGCCCCTCTTTTGCAGATTCATTGGTGAAGACTGGGAAATTGGTATCGAAAGGGCTGAACCATTTGTTGTTTACGATCCCTAGGGACTAGCATTTCAACTTGCGATTTGTCTCGAGTCTAGTGACGAAACTAGAAAGGGACAACCGTAAGCTGGCTCGGTTGGGTAGAAGGTACTCGACGTCAGCCTTCTCCTTTGACATCAAGGAGATGTTTACAAAGTTGCCACACAACGAGATACTTGATGTGGTTGATTGGTTAATAGACTGACACAGATCGAAGAACCATTCAAAGGTTAGAGTGAATACCAAGGGAAAGGGGGCGAGTTTTGGGTTGACAACTGGAGCAGATCACTGGAAATTACTTGATCTGGAGGATATCCAATCTTTTGTCAGGATTGATATGCATAATACGTATTTTTTTGCTACCGGGGTACTGCTGAAGCAAGAGGTGGGCATCCCGACGGGGAAAAGCACAAGCCCACCCCTTGCTTGTATCCTGTGCGCGTATGCTGAGTACAAGATGATCATGGGTTTGGGGCGCCAGGCTAGGTGTTTGTTTGCTACCCGATTGATGAACGACGTCCTGCTCACCTTGGCATGGAAGGACGAGGCCAATAAGGAATCTCTGTTATGAGTTTTTGGCAACTGTTACCTAGAGGGACTCGTGCTAGAACGCACTGACACAGGAAATGGAATCCTGGACTTCCTGGGCTGCAAGATCGTAGTAGCAAGACAAGAATATCCTATGCTGAGCTGTGTGCAAGTGTGTAAGAACGATAATTGCATATGAACGGAGTAGCCACTGGTATTCAAAAATGGTAAATCCTATTTCTCTTGGGGCGACAAAAGGCAAAAAAATGCGGTGATCACTGGATACCTGCACAGGATAGAGAGGAATACCGCTATCAGATATGAGATCCCCATGCGAGTACTAACTTTGAAGAGGGAACTGGGGAAGAAAGACTTCCCATACAACTTCTTTGAAAGAGTGTTGCGTCGATTCACGATGGGACGAGATAAGATTTGGGCTGCTACTCTGCGGTTTATCTGCGATTAGGCAGGTAGTAGTGGGAGGAGGTGGTCACTGTAGCTTTCATTGACTGAGTATGTATGTTCGTCTTTGTGGTAGGTTATTAGGTGTTTAGTAACATGGGTAATCCTAGACTTCCTGGGCTGCAATATCGTAGTAGCAAAACAGAAATATCATATGCTGAGCTATGTGCAAGTGTCTAAGAACGATAATTGCATCTGGACGGAGTAGCCACTGGTATTAAAAAATGGTAAATCATATTTCTCTTGGGGCGCCAAAAGGCAAAAAAGTGCGGTGATCACTGGATACCTGCACAGGATAGAGAGGAATACCTCTATCAGATTTGAGATCCCCATGCGAGTACTAACTTTGAAGAGGGAACTGGGGAAGAAAGACTTCCCTGACAACTTCTTTGAAATAGTGTTGCGTCGATTCACGATGAGACGGGATAAGATTTGGGCTGCTACTCTGCGGTTTATCTGCGATTAGGCAGGTAGTAGTGGAAGGAGGTGGTCACTGTAATTTTGATTGACTGAGTATGTATGTTCGTCTTTGTGGTAGGTTATTAGGTGTTTAGTAACATGGGTAATTAGTAGATGTACCGTGTTTGAAACTAAGCGGAGCTGAGTGCATGGCAGACTAGGGTACATACGATGTATGTCTCTCCATGTTTTGTTGGCGAGTTATCATATAGAGCTCAGGATAGGTTGTTGTGGCTGGACAGGGTTCGAACAGGGTCCGAGGCATCCTTGCCTTCTGTGCATTGAAAATTTGTCTGAGTGACTTGTTGGTAGACAGGCAAGACCTGTTTCTTTGGAGCCTTGTGCTGTTTTTTAAAACACCACATGGCCTCAGGGGTGAACCCTGAGTCTGCAGCCGACAACCGACCATAGGGTACGATAGTTTTTTTCGGAGGCTGTGAACGTTTTGTCGCGACTTTGGGTTGTCCAGCAGCATGGGACACTAGGCCCCCTGCTATCTTTAGCCGAAGCGCCTAGTGACGACTTTTTGAACTGTGTGAACTATAAGAGCACTGTTAGTTGTCCTCTTGGGTTGGCAGAGTGAACGATTTTTTTTTTGTGTGCGGTTTGCAATGTGGAAGAATGTCTACTACGACTTGTCTCTGTGTGGTTTGGGCGCTTTGTGCGCCAATGTGTCTACTCCATAGTATCCATTACACATAGTCATACTCAGTAAGGAATTCTGATGTGATCCTCAACCAAAAGTTGCTTGTATTGCAATTTTACACAACATATTTTGTTTCTTGATTTTTTTTTTTTTTCTTTTTTTCTTTTTTTTTCGCTGAGGCTGTACGGAACCCTGCCCCCTGGTCATGCCCAACCGGGCACCAAGACATGTATCCGGGCACAAGTTAGGTGCTCGAACGCCCGAAAAAAGAACCTAGTGCATATCTTTTTTTTTTTTTTTTTTTTTTTTTTTTTTTTTTTTNCTCTCTCTGTGCGTGTGTGCGTGTGTGTGAGGTACCGCAAATGGAGAGCAGTTGAGATTTGTGACTGACATGTGCATCTGTGTGTGTGTGTGTGTGTGATACCGCAAATGGAGAGCAGTTGAGATTTGTGACTTACATGCGCATCTGTGTGTGTGTGTGTGTGTGTGTGTGTGATACCGCAAATGGAGAGCAGCGGAGATTTGTGGCTGACGTGCGCATCCAATACCCCCCTGTCAAAGTGTTGAGCAACACGAGTCCCTGTGGCATCCCGCGGCTTAGAATGCTGGATCATTTAACAGGACTGACTACTGGTAAACGTGCGGAAAAGAGTTATTTGGTCTAACTGATGTCAGTAGTTGTTTGAAAAGAGCTATTTGTCAGTAGATCAAGCACCTTGCCTCCTCTGGGCAGGGTGTTATATCTGCTGTTTTGAGGTGTGCGGTATGGGGTAGGTGAGTGGGGGATGGAAATAGATTTTCCTTCACCAACGAGTACATTGCGCTCAAGGTGTGCTTTTTTCTCCTTCAAAAAAAGGCCCACTTCGGCGACCTGATTGCCATTGGCAGGCGGCCTTCTGATTTTTGTTTTTCTTCTTTCCTTCTCCTTTGTCCACATTCTAATGGATGGAAACGGGCAGGTGGCTCAGTATCATGGGCCATTGTTTCATGCTCTTGGCTGCTGATAACGTTGAGGCGGGCTGACATGTTGCTGTGTTCTACCTTCGGGGATTAGGCTCGGGATAGACCGCAGCCATGGATGAAGCAATATTTGTCAGTCTGCAATCGAAGAGGCCCAAGGTTTGCATGGTTGCTGCATAACGACGAAACGGCGGCACTCTGTTCCTTTTCATTTTGTCCACAACAGAGAGATCATCCATTTTTTTTCACCGATTAGAGTGCGATGTGTCTGGTGGTAAACATTTCCGCACCCTCGTTCGCTTTTTTTTTTTGTTTGTTTCTTTCTCCCCATTACGTAATTCAAAAACGGGGCGTCATGTTGGCATATAGACACGTCCATAAACAGACATTAACCAGCTCAGGGATGCCAGGCCTGCATTTGCTGGTGATGTAGATGTTCTTCGGGAGTCTTGTCTTCTGTGCCTGTGCCTCTCCGCAGCCGGTTGTATATGCTGATGAGTCGGGGAAACTCTGACAAAGCAGTTTGGCACAGCCCCTTGTATGTTGTCCTCTTCTCCCTCTTGGCCTACTACAGCTTGCCGGGGAGTTCTGTTTGATAATATATACGTATATATGACATGGTCTTTGCGGCTCTCCACATGCCATAACAGATTTTGTAAGTTACTCCAGACCTGCTTTGTCTGGGCTTATCTTCTCCTTCTTCTTCTTCTTCTTCTTCTTCTTCTTCTTTTTTTTTTTTTTTTTTTTTTTTGTAAGTCTGGGCTTATCTACAGTTATGGGGGTTTTGCCAGATTTTGATTTGATTGGATTATCTAGATTAGTGCACCCCTGAAGTGATTAGGTTTATTGCCATCTTCTTAACAACTGGCCAAGCTCGGTTGGTGCACCCCTGAACTGTTGGAAATACGGACCCGAGTGAGTTCGAACTCCTCTGGAAGCAGATGAGTGAAATTATACTACTGTTCTGCATTACGGAAGGCCGGTCAGTTTGATGATGATGTCTCAATGCCGTTGCGTGTTTCTTTTTTTTGTTTTTCTGTTTTTTTTGTTGTAAAAAGAAGGTTTACTTGGTATCAGATTTGTGTTTATGTGGTGTTTGTCTTTTATGGAAGCTGAGATTTATCGGGGAGGTGTGTACATTTGTGCCTTATTTGATGCCATTGTGCGCTACCCTTCGGAGATTTTATGCCCCTAATGATCATGTTAAAGTTGGGGGGGGGGGGGGGGGGGGGGGGGGGGGGGGGTTTGGGGGGGTCCTTGCCCTTCCCGGTTTTAGAACTTTTCCCTTTTTTTTTTTATTTTTTTTTTTTTTTTTTTTTTTTTTTTTTTTTTTTTTTTTTTTTTTTTTTTTTCCCCTTTTTTTTTTTTTTTTTTTTTTTTTTTTTTTTTTTTTTTTTTTTTTTTTTTTTTAAACCAAAATGATAAAAAGGCTCAAAAATTGTATTCGAAGGTTCTCCACATCCTGCTATTGATGTTTTTTCAAACAAAACGTTGTTCGCCTTTAGATTTTCGTCTAAGATTTCATTGACCAATTTAAGGACGAAATTTTTATTTCACGAGTCTACGTGCGCACGATTTTGAACAACACTAACACATATTTCATCATGATGGTAAGTTTCAAAACAACGATACGTGGTGTCTCAAAACGTTGTATGACAACTTGGGGTTTATTAAATTGGGTGGGAAAAACTTATAAAATAATGTCGTGGAGCAAAGACCTAAGTCGATAAAGCTTAAAACCTAAGAAAACTAAGAGTTGTATCCTTATCTTACATGTATTCGCAATATAGCAACCACCTATCTTTCGGTGTTTATTTCTTGAGATCCCTCTCAGCTTAAGTTTTTTTTTTTTTTTTTTTAATTGAAGAATGAGGGGGGGGGGGAGACTATGTTATTCGCAAAAGTTGGGCGGTCACGGTGGTTGCACTTTTGTGGACAAACCTAAATTGTCCTGATGTTGGACACTTAAATTATCACAAGGTCTCGTTGGTGCCAAATTGGTGGTTTACTTAACTAAGTAGGCTAAACTAACTTTCGTGTAAAGTTGCATCATGCTCGTGGAATGATCAGTCTACAAGTGGCTTTAAGGTATATGAACATTTGTATTTTTTCAAAACAAAGTAAACATCCTGAACATTTGAATGCCCTTGATTTATCTAAGTTTGTCCTTCAATGCTAATTGAATGGAGTTAGATGAAGCACATTCGGCGAAAAAATTGAGGTATTTGAAAAAAAAAAACTAACTATGTTGCAGACAATAATAATGCAAATATTCTTTGGCTAGAGGTTATTTCCAAGAACAAAACATAATGTAGATAATAATAATGCAAACAACCTTAGATGTCACATATAGGGTCTAATAACCCCTTATGGCCAATGGCTAACCTATAACGCCCATTAGGCAACCCGAGTATACCCATTTAGCACAAATGTTATATGTTCCTTTGTGAGTCCTTTTACTATTTGGAAGGACCTTAGTTTTTTTTTCTCATCAATTATTTTTTTTGAGTCATTTCCGCTTTGTTTTTCCATTGCATGTTTTTTTTTTTTCCAATTTTTTATAGGTTGTTTATCATATGGAGGAACCATTGTCTCAATTGTCATGAGCGAGACTCCTTTAATAATTTAGTTTTTGTCTTCACTGAAAGTAGTTCCCTTCTCGGTTATCAACAAGATTACGACCACCATCCGCTCTCATACTTCTGTTATCAACTAGACCGACTCTAGTATTTTTATTTACATGGGAAACATACAAAACTTGCACTACAAAGCCCCCAAACCATCCCACCTGCGACCCTACCCCTGAAAGTAAAACCCTAAGGTAACCCACTACAACTTGATCATCCACTCCACTGGACTGATCATACCAGACCCATCCCTGTTTGCACCCCATCCATATCCGTGCTATATGACGAAATGGGCAATCATATCTGAACCTTGAACCTCTTTTCCTACAACACCCAAGCTCAACAAATCGAGGTACTCCATTTTTTGGTCTATCTGTGCGATGCATTAGGCTGGGGAAGGTGGGGTGCTAACTTGACACCAGCTGCTCATGCAAAGAGGAGGTTGACGGCTGACATGATAAAACATGCAACCTCCCTATTGCCGCGCCAGAGCTCCAACCACTGATCTACCATGACTGACATGATCAAACCTGCAACTGTGGTGGTTGGGATCACCACAGTTAAAGCAAGTGCACACACACGTAGACACAAGTACATTAGCCATTCTACCAACAGAAGAGGCTGAATCGACGACAAATTGACGATGAATTTGAAAAGATTCGAAAAGGTTTGAAGCCACTTAGAACGTAGTATAATTCCTACGACAGTTACTTCGGGGAATAAGGTATGATCAAACATTCATCATAATTGGAATGAACAACAAACGTAGGTTCTACTATTACGAGCGCAAGACAGAGTCAAAAAACATCCACGCCTAGCAAGTCAAAGAACAAAGACAGAAAGGGAGGGGAAGAAAGAAGTAAAAGAAGAAAGAAGAAGGGAAGAACGAAGCATACAAGATGACACAAATTTCTCCCGAACGCGACTGAAAAGATATTATGATAAGAACACGGCGGCGTGGACCCCACGTTTCGGCTGTCCGCCAACAGCGCTCCTCAGGGGTCTTGGTCACGGAGGTACTGTAGCAGGTCAGCTCCTCTTCTATATATCTTGCATCAAAAGGACTAAGACCGGAAAAAACTAATGAGCAAGGAGGGCCAGGGAAGTACCAGAAAAGACAAAGGGAAACCAGACTGTTCTTCATACTAGGAAAGGACCGGACCCAATAAGTACCGGACTCAAGTCCCATTCCTTGTATAAAAAAAACCGGATTCAAAATCGGTCCCTCCGCTGTAGACTAAAGTGCGCCACCTCACAAGTCCTACTGCCATACTAGGAGTAATTGAACCTCCGACCTTCACAAAACAGCATTCAGGAATAAATGACCACCGCCACATTCAACTATCTTCGAACCATCGACCAGTACATACATCATAAGGGAGGACACCATCAATCCAAAGATCCCCGTTCAAATCTGCAACTATACGTGGTCCGAACTACGAACAAATCTGAAGTACTCCCGGGGTCAAATCTGCAAAACTTGCCCAGTATTCCCAAAAAAGAAAAAAAGAAAAAAAAAAAAAACCTTGGCCAGTACTCACATCGTCAAGATTTATGCCACGCCCTCTCCATCTGGAAGAAATGCACGTACCAAAGGGTGTGAAAGGGCGACGCAGTGACGGAAGGCGGGGGCTCTGCTCTTGTGTTTAGAACATGTCCGTTTTTTTTTGGCTTGTTTGACTGTTCCTACTGGACTACTGTAGACTTTGGCCCCAACGACCCGGTACTGAGGCAGCCGGGTATCCAAGAGGCCGTACCGTACAACGCCGGTAGGCGACCGCAGAAGTTCGAACTCAGTGCATTCAACGTGAAATCCTGCACGGTCGAGATCCTGTGGAGATCGTGGCGAGATAGCATGACTCGCCTCAGGACTTGCTTCTTTCTCCCGCGCCACGTGTGTGTTTGCGACTGGCGGGAGATCGAGGGCAGATGGACGGCTCGGTCGTGTGTCATCAGTGATGGTGCGCAAGAGGTTGGCGCTACCGGTAGTCTGCTCCCCTCCTTCGTGGGAGAATGCAGGTCATGGATGGGTCTGCCTTCCCCGATGCTTGCGATGGAAACGCCGGGTATGACGTGCGGCTCTGTCGAGCGTGTCGCCATAGCCAGTGTTCCGTGAATCGTCAGTGAACTGGTCGACGGTCGGAAATTGACCGAGGACGTGCTTTTGATTTTGACCGCTACTATACTACTACTGGTAGTTTTTGGGCTATCTGGGAGGTGGTGGGGCATATGCGACGGTGTGGGTCATTGGGCGGGAGAGTGTGGTGGGGAGCGAGAGGCGTGTGCTTTTGGGTCGCCGGTATCGAGCGCGATCGAGCGCGCGGAAAAGAGGCGGTGACGTGGACGGGGAGGGAAGCCGCAGCTGAGGGTGCATGGCGCGCAAGGGGGATCGCTCAAGGGCGGCAAAGGGAAGAAAGGCGCGTTCGCGGGGTTTGGCGGGGGTGGAGCTGAGAGGACCTCTAGGCCATGTAGTGGTCGTCGTCAGACGCATCGGGCGGCATTGAGCGGGAAGTCACCACATTTGGTAACTTTGGCGGGAAATTAAACCACATTTGGTAACTTTGGCGGGGAATTAAGGGACAGGAGGGAGCATCTAAGAAAGACTGTGGTCAAGGCGGGATGCACGTTTTTGTTTTCCAAACAGAATGCGAATTTCCCAAGAATCGTCGATTGGCATTGACCGACGATTGGCATTGACCGACCGTGCGTCATCGAGAGATCGACGTATTCGCGGTGGCGGTCGTTTCGGTCTTTTCCTGCGCAGAACGTGTTTCTTATTAGGGCCAGATCCCACTAGCCCCTATTGTTCATTTCTGACCGTTGATCTTCGCAATCGAGGGTGAAAAATGAATAATCCAGGGTAGTGGGATCTCACCCTTATCCCGCCAATACTGCGTTTCATTATTACCCGCCGATGCCTCGCCTTGCTTTCCCGCTGATGCCTCGCCTCACTTTCCAGGTATATGCCCGACTGGCGTTGTCTGGCCTCTGATCCCCGACCGTTATACACTTGGCGCTTCCCTCGGCATCCGTGGGGCCAACTTTCCACGCCCTTGTCCCACGTGTTTCGCTTGGCCAGCCCTTTGGATCGGCGAGAGGCCGGATGAGTGGCCGCCGCCCTAATGACGACGCCTGGGTCAGTGCAAGGTACCACAGGGGGATGATCAGGCAGAATTTTCTCCTCCTGAGGTGCAAAGGACGAGAGTCTCGAAGGAATGACGCTGGGGCCGGCATTTTTATTTTTATGTTAGTAGGGCGGGTGGTAGCAATATGAAGACGACAACAAGGATGATGACGACGATGGGTGGGACTATGAATCTGACGGTGTGGATGTGGATCGTCGCGGAGTATCGACGGTGAATCCGGATAGGAAGAGTCACTTGATCCTACCGGAGACTGGCTGCAATAGATTGACACAGCGCGTGTTCGTTGGTGTGTTGCTTGTGTGTGTGTGTGTGTGTGTGTGTGTGTGTGTGTGAGAGAGAGAGAGAGAGAGAGAGAGAGAGAGAGAGAGAGAGGAGAGGAGAGGTGGAGGATAATGGATGGGGAGGAGGAAGGGCTATTTGAGGACAACCATAGGGGGTTGGCGCTGGCGGTGACTTCGAGCTTGTTCATCGGGGCTAGTTTTATTGTGAAGAAGAAAGGGTTAAAGAAGGCAGGGGCGACGGGGTTGAGGGCAGGGCATGGGGGATATTCCTATCTGCTAGAGCCATTATGGTGGGCGGGCATGATAACGATGGTGGTAGGGGAGATAGCCAATTTCGCGGCTTACGCGTTTGCTCCGGCGATTCTTGTCACTCCGTTAGGAGCTTTGAGTATCATCGTGAGCGCGGTCTTAGCGCACGCGATGCTGAACGAGAAGTTGCACGTGTTAGGTATCTTAGGGTGTATTTTTTGCGTAGTTGGATCGACCATGATCGTTCTTCATGCCCCTGCTGAGAGGCCGCTTGAATCTGTCCGACAAGTTTGGTCTATGGCTACCGAACCCGGATTTGTCGTCTACGCTATCTCCGTAGTTGTCGTAGTTCTCATTTTGGTTTTTCATTTCGCTCCTAAATGTGGCCATACTCACATCCTTGTGTATATCGCCATTTGTTCCTTAATGGGCTCTCTTTCCGTCATGAGCTGTAAGGCTCTCGGCATTGCCCTTAAACTCACTTTCACGGGGGATAACCAGCTCTACTACCCGGAGACCTATATGTTCGCCATGGTCGTTGCGACCTGCGTTGTCACGCAGATGAACTACCTGAACAAGGCTCTCGACACTTTCAATGCCGCCATTGTTTCGCCTATCTACTACGTAATGTTTACCTCGCTGACCATTCTTGCTAGCGTTATAATGTTTAAGGATTGGGATCGACAGACTGGAACTCAGATTGTATCCGAGTTGTGCGGATTCGTGACCATTCTGGGAGGAACCTTCTTGCTCCATGCGACTAAGGACACCAATGAGATGTTCTCGGGACTGGCGGTATTGACAGCTGGTCAGCGACCGAGCGGCGGCCCCACAGCGTCCACTCCAACCTCCGGTCCTAGGAAACCGAGTCTTATGGCCGGTGCAAATGACGAAGACGGCGACGAGATGATGCCGTTGTATCGCCAAGAAGCATTCCAGATGGCAGGTTCAAAATAGTTATTATAGGCTAAACGATGGTGATGGGGGTAGAGATGATGATGATGAAGAAGAAGAAGAAGATAGTCATGTATGCTATCTAGCTGAAGAAGAGAGGCGAAGAGGGATGGAGAGGGGGGGCGTGTGTTCCGATTTCATGAGGGTTTTCCTCACGAGAGGTTCTCTTTATCACTCCAAACACTCTTGCTCGCTCATCTATATGCCATTCTCCTCGCTACTTTCTTTTCCTCCCCCCCGCGAATAGAACGTTCGGTCATTTTCGCTGCATCTGGACCGACGTGTGCGCCAAATACGTCCTTAATGACCGGACGTTCTATTTCGCGGGAAGACGAATATTGTTTGGTTACCTGCTAACATCGCACTGCGCGGGTATCCCGAAAGAAATCGATTCAATATTTTTGTTTTTTCACAGCCCCGCGTCTCTCATCCTTTCCTTTCCTCTCTCTCTCTCTCTCTCTCCCTCTCTCTCTCTCTCTCTCTCTCTCTTTCTGCAATCCTTTTCTCTCTCGTTCTGCCTACGGTTCACCAGGAAGTCTCTCTGACGAATGATATATTGTGCGAGAGAAAAAGACACATGTAATTGGATGTCACAGCCGCGCTCGTGAGCGGGGGGTGAAAGGGTAAAAGGGTATAAAAGGGAGGCAGGCGGGGTCTAGAGGTAGCGGGTGGATAGGTTTTTAGGTTGAATCGTGCCCTGATCAGAGGTTCTCGTTCCTTTTAGCGGGGATGTTCTTTTCCGTTCCTCTCTCCTCTCTCCTCTTTTCCGTCTTTCTCATGGATCTCTTCTCCCACTTCTTTTTTATTTCTCTTCCTCGCTCTTGAGTTCTGACAATGGGACGGCCGAGGGGATCTCCGCCGTTGAAGAAGATGCGATATTGGCGATTGGGATTGGAGGATATCACAAGTTGAGAATGAGGAGGAGCTGATTTGGGGAGGTTTTATTCTTGAACTTGCATAGGTTTTGTGGAGGTGTTCATTTCTTTTTCTCATTTAAAGATTTATAGAGGTTGATTGGGATTAGCGAGGGCGATGGTGAAGTGTGGTGTTATAATGGGGGGGGGGTTGAAGGGGGCAGCCCTCAGAAAAATGGTATACGGATGGAGACGGAGACACAGAGGAAGAGAAGGGTAGGTCCGGGAGGGATAGACGAAGAACGACTGAGAGAAGGAAGGTGTGTTCTTGTAGAGCTCTTTTTGTGTGGTGTAGCTTGTCGTAGGGGGAGGGAGAGGTGTCTTCGAAGCAGGAGGTCTCAGGATCGTAAGGAAGGGTGGAGTCTTATGACGGAGACGGTCAAGTTTGCCGCGTTGTGATGGTTGATTTTGATACTTGGGGAGTTTGGATAACCTAAGGAACTTGCCAGGTCTACGTGGGGAAGTGGTAGGAATAATTATTCCTCAATTGGGGAGAAACGCTGAGATGACTTGCCAGTGCTTCACTTGGCGACGTTTGTAATCTTGTTCTCTGTGGAAACCCTTGGTTTCTGTCTCTCTGTCAGAAGAAGCTAGTCTCATTCTCTATCTGTTGTCTTTCTTTGTGTGAGTCCTGTGTGTGTGTGTGTGTGTGTGTGTGTGTGTGTGTGTGTGTGTGCGCGCGCGTGGTCGTCTGTGGAGGAAAAGACGGGAGTTGATAGTGGTTAGCTGGCGATATTGCGCGATGCATGTAGTGGAATGGATATGCTCATCCCTTTGAAAAAGTGGCTGTGGGGAGAGTCGAATCACTCGGAGGGATGTACAGTAGCCAAGCTTGTGAGGGGATGACAGAAGAGGCAGCCCCATGATGCACTTGGAGCACTCAAACGGGAGTGGAGAGACCGTGCCGGGGGGGAGGAAGAGAGAGAGAGAGAGAGAGAGAGAGAGAGAGAGAGAGAGAGGTGAAGCATACGCGCAGTGGCGTTGCGCGACGATTTTGTAGTGGACGAGCACCTTCGGTACTGAGGGAACTGTGTTTGACCCTCGGTGTCGATGTGGGCAATGCGAAAGTGCGATCGAATTGTTTAGAGTTTTGTCTGTATTTTGTCTATATCTCAGTTGTCCTCGTGGTGGATCGACAAAGAGATAGAGAGATGGTAGAAACTAGAGAGAGAGAGAGAGAGAGAGAGAGAGAGAGAGAGAGAGATGAATGAAGGCTTGTTGAATTCCCGGCATGGAGAGGCAAGGGGGAAGAAATGGAAGGATGGTGGTGGTGGAAGAAGGAAATGAGGAGGGAAGATGACAGGCGCATGTTTATGAGGGAGGGGGTGCGAGAACCTATCCCCCTCACGATGACAATCAGAATGCATGTTCTAGGTTACTTAGTGGGCGAAAGATGGAGAAAAGGATGAGGAATTTGCGCTCCAGCAGTGAACTTTTGGAAAGGCGAGTTCAATCGACGACCCTTTCACCTTTACTTGCTCTCTTCTCCGCTTGGCTTTCACCGTCCCCCTCTTCTCGTGTGTCTTGTCTCCCATTTGCCCTATTTGCCAACTGTCCTCTTCCAGTCTTTTTCCTGCCATGCTTGTTTTTCTACCTGTCTGTCCTCTTCTTCTTCTCCGCTGTCCTCTTCTCTGTGCTGTTCCTCTCATTCTCTCTCGTCGTCTGTGTTAGTCCCCGGGAATGCCGAACTCCATGTATATGTCCAATATGCCCTCAATCTTCCTTCGAGGCATCCGTTAAAATTGCAACGATACCCTTCGAGGCATCCGTTAAAATTGCAACGATACCCTTCGAGGCATCCGTTAAAATTGCAACGATATCATTCGAGGCATACGTTAAAATTGGAACGATACAGAAAAGATTAGCATGGCCCCTGTGCGAGGATGACACGCATGAATCGAGAAATTGTCTAAATTAGGAAAAAAAAGCCCTCATTGGTGTGAACTCCAACCGGCGTATCTCATTGTGAACCTGAATGGGCCCCGCTTCACCTCTGTTCTTGTTTATTTCGTTGTCTCCTGTGACGATTTTACTGGTTTTCTTTTGTGCTTCTCATGTCACGATTTTTTTTTTTTTTTTTTTTTTTTTAATGGGAAAGCAAAAAATTTGGACCATTTCTCGATTTATGCGTGTCATCCTTGCGCAGGGCCATGCTAATCTTCAGTCTCTGTATCGTTCCAATTTTAACGGATGTCCCGAAGGACTCATGTCACGATTGTACTTTTTGTTTTCTTTGTTCTTCTCATGGGATGATTTGATTCGTCTGCTGGTCGTCCTGTCATCCTCGACCCGTTCTCATCCCGTCTTTGTCCATGTCCGTATATGCAGTGCAACTATTGCCGTCGAACAGGGGGAGTTGTAAGGAAGAAGAAAAAAAATGAATTGATATCTTTTTTGTTTCCTTTTGTTTTTTCGTTTTTGCGCTCCGATATTCATGTGACGATATATATGACAAGCAGCCACTTGTTGTTGGGCTAATACCAACCCAGGAACCGAAGCTGGGTAATAGTCCCAGTACGTGACTGTGTTTTTTCCGTGTTGTTTGTGAGGAATTCCCGGCCACATGTTTTCATGATAAAGGATTCCTTGCT